AATGACCCCAAGAAAACATTAGTATTTCTAATATGCAGTGCCAAAAAGACAAAAAAGACACATTTAGACACTCTAAATGGTATAAAATTCCCACTTTTTTCACACCAATACCTATATGTTATGGTTATTTTCTGTATAAGGAGCCACCAACAAATCATCATAATTTCAAAGTCTCATCTCTGTTTCAAAGATGATTTGGTGTCTTTTCTTTATGTTATACCAAAGTTGATAAGGGGTCTGTATCATCATTCTCTGAATTGCAGGTTAAATTTGGGTAACTTCCCTATTGTTTTCCTATTTGCATTTTATTATCACTAAAATTTTTCTCCATTCCAAATAACCTTTTCCTAGGGGTTCAGAAAGTCTGTGGACAAACTCATACCTAGTAAACACTTCACATGCTGAGCCTGTTATGCTTTGAAACTCTTTGTTATGTTTTGTACTCTATTCAGGAAATTCTGAATAACAAATGCCTAGTTTGTTAAATAGATTAGGAACTTTAAAGAATTTAATCGACCCTTCTCCCTTTGGGCATTATCACACAGCAGTCACAGGAGGACATCAAAAATGTGTAGGAATATTTCTGCAGTCTTTACATTTAAGGTAAATTCCTCCCATTGTCAAAATCAAAAGGGCTTTTAAAAATCAGTCTTTCCTTTCTGCTTATAAATTATGCTGGGAAATGGTTACATAATGGTCACGATTTAGGCCCCAGGTTAAAACTACAAAATTACATTAAAGGTCTCTGCTTATCATCTGTCCTACCTAACTGACATACACATTTTCTGAAATTGCCTTTACTGTGCCTATTCCAGAATGAAAAAGGAATTCCAGCTTCCAATAGCAACATCTAGTTATTTAGATGCCCCTCATTGGCCACTTATATATCCCATCCAGTCCTATCTCCTTGCCTTCACTAACTTTATCCCTTTTCCTGCCCCCCACCTCAGACCCACCAGGGATGTACCACAGCTAACTGGCTGACAGGAGACCCCACCTGTCTCACAAGACGATAACATTCTGCATGGTCTAGCCCATGACACAATTTTACCTTCTGAGAAATGTGGTCTATGTGGTCACAGCCACAAAACTTAGCATTTAATTGCTAACACAAAACAAAACTACATGTCAAATTCGTTTTTCAAACCTTCAGTGAGCTCTCCAAACAATATGGTCTGGCTACATATTTTTGTTTCCCTCCATGTGACTAAAGCCACAAAGTGCTTGTGATTCTCTTTTCAAATGTTTTTAGCATTTTTTTTATTGTAGTAAAATGCACACAATATAAAGCTTACCATCCTAATCATTTTTAAGTATACATTCACCCTGTGGGCAACCATCTTTGTCATCCATCTCCAGAAACTCTTGGTGACACTCTTGTCAACTACAGGAGGCAGGCAGAAAACTGCCAGTTAGTTTCTAATAATAAAATCCAGTTTTAATTTATAGAACTGTATGCCTGATGAAGGGGTATCTAACTATGTATTAACTGTACTTCAGTAGTTCTGATTCAAAACAGAATGAGGAGGGATGCAATGGGAGATGAGGCTGGTGACAGTTGGGATCCAGAACACGAGGGGCAGGGGCATGAAGGGCACACGGGCATTTCATCAGGAGCCACAGGAACCTTGACAAGTCCAAGGAGGATGGTGGCACTGCCAACATTGCTAAGCACCTATGTTCCAGAAACTACGCCAGCCACTGAATCACTCACATATGTGCTCAGGAAGCTCATCCTGGTTGCACTGTAGTCAGTTGATGGGGCAAAGCTAGCGATCTTTGCTTTGTGCAGGTAAGAAGTACAAGATTAAGGCAGCAATGGAGGAAATGGAGAGCCAAGGTTTATGTATTTTTCATTTTGCCCATTGATAGGGTAGAAACAAAATCATAGTTTCCATCATTTTCTTCCTATTTTTTAATCACTTGCACCAATGGTTATTTCAGCCTTAATAAATTTTATGTGACACATCAAATAGCATGAAGGTGGTCAGCAACAAGGAACCTGAGGTACAGATAATAATCCATAAACCAGATCATGTGTTATATATACTCAAGGCACCATGATAGTAATGCTCCAATTAGATCACTATAATTTTGGTAGAATAATTATGGCTGCTTCGAGGGACAGCTGTTACTCCAAAAGGCTCTTTGTGGGTAAAAAGGGAGAGTAGTCGAACACTTATCAATATAAGAATGGTTAAATATGGTGAGAGCTGTGAAGTGTGTAAACGTGGCGATTCACAGACCTGTACCCCTGGGGCTAATAATACATCATATGTTAATAAAAAAAAACTAAAAAATAAAAGAATGGTTAAATAGATTGTAGGAAAACATGCTGTGAAACGCCAGGCAATGAACCCAAATGTAGTCATGGGGATGATTCCCCAAATACTCTGGTAAATATCATATCAACTGCAGAACATAATACAAAGCATGAGGACATTTATGTTAAAACATTCGTTTGTATATGTAAATGGCTCTATAAACACAGGAAAAGGTCATAGAAGAATATAGCCAAGAGGGCTGGGGATGAGAGCGGATAGAGCTGTCAGCTCGCCCTCCATATTGGAGTGAGACTAGAACCACATAATCCTTATGCAGAAAACTCAAGTTGTATAGGTCAGTGTACCAAGGGAGCAGGTCGTATTAATTACAGGCTTATAGGTCTTCCATGAAATCATTATTGGTTATTCAAATCATAATGATCCTCATAATAATAGCCAAGACTCAATCAGTATGTGTGTGCACATGCCCACTTGGGCTTTTTTGAGATGAGAACATACTGGTTCTTGCAAAGGGTTTCCCTTGAGTTACAAGAAAACCATTGAAGAATACAATTTAGTCTCAATGAGTTACAAGGTAACCTTTAGAATGTGAACTATTCATTGCAAAGGAGCAAATGAAATTACAACAATCTTTGATCTTTTGGTTCAAAACACACTAAAATACCATCCAAGTAGAACTTTCCTGTTTTTAGAGTTATATTTGAAGTGCATGTTAATGTCACAGAGGTTGGGCGGGCACTGAGTCAATGCTCTTTCTGGACTTGGTTGAAGATTTTGCTTTTTCTTGATTTTCAAGTTAAATCTCCTCAAAATACTAAGCAGAAGACAGAGACCAGAGTGGGAGAGAATTTACATAATTTTAAAATTTTATCCAGGATATTTTTAAAGCCTGTTTATAAAAGAGTATGTATAGCTGTGGTTTAGCTACAATTGAAAAATTAATTTAGGGAACTCACATGACATTTTCAGGGCCTCATTCCAAATGGAATTTTCCAGATAGACAAAAATTATACTCTTCTTGTCCTTAGCCCTCTTGAAGTTTAAAAAAAAAAAAAGGCTAGATAGGAGGTGTAAATGACTAAGAAGGGCCCCGGAGGAAGCTCTGGGAAGCTAAAGAGTTGGGAGCTTCATGTAGAATGTCTTGATAAGAAGTCTAGACTATCTGTAATTTGCTGATTTTGAGGAAAACCAGATTATTAAGAAATCCTATGAAGCCGACTACTACAGTAGGAGCTGAAAATGCATGTGGGACTTGGGATGGCGCATGGGAGCAGGGATTCCCACACTCCTTTAATCCACAGCACTGATTATCTATGACCCTATGTGACATTCAGGAGTGACTGCTATCATGGAGGCCAAAAAAAAAAAAAAAAAGCCACAGAAAAAGGAGGACAAACATAAATTATTTAAGTGCCAAAAAAAGACAAAAAATGTAAAAATGCAGACAGGAGGAAGATAGAAACTACAGAATCCATTACATGTAACATCAAGAAGTTCTCACTCGGAGTGGACTGAGTCGAGTATTATAGCATGAGATGAGCAGACAAGGCAAGGAGGATGCCCTTTGTGCAAGTTAGAACAATGCACAAATGCGCAAAACTCAGGAAAACTACTCAGTAGTAGTTTGGTTAAAGACTGAGTGATGGGAACGTTTGTTTTACGTGAATATTCAATAGGAAAGAGTAGACAACTGGGTAAAGAAATGTTCAGTCACAGTTCCATTAGTGAACCACTTGTTAAATTCCCTGAGCTGCACATTTTAAAGGACCACATAAGATAAAGTTGATGAATGTCTTGGTTATTATTTCCACCAAGAGTTGAGAAATCTGACACAAAATAACTCCTAACAGACTGAGATATTAACACCAAATGCAATTAACATTGCTTTCCTATTTCTTTACAGAGTGACGGCCCGCTTCCTCTTTTCTCAACACACTTGGAAATCTATTAGTCACATCGGCCTCAAAAACCACACGGTCTACAGCAGAGCTGGCCTTAAAAAGGAGGCAAGAGGCGGCTGGTCCTCCCAGAGTTTAATGAGAAAGCACCCACTCCACTTTTCCCCGGCCCCAGCCCTCTCCTGCTCTAGTCCCTCTAATGAGTAAAATAAGTGTGCCTGCAATTGAATCAACATGCTGAAAACCAGCTTGACAACCCAAGAAGTTCACAGAGATATTCTTAATTGCCTTATTTGTTTACTCCCCACTTACTCCCACACCTTGCCCCATTTAAATAGTATGTTCAAATACTCCAGAGGCGGGGAATCAATGCTTGGGTAACTTGCAAATGCTATGAGAAACAGATCAAGAAATCAGGCCCTTTCAGTCTAGGAAAGAAAAGAGCAACCAGGTTGCCTGGAAACATTCCCGTGCCACGGAGAAAGCACAATCGGCTGCCCAGGCTCTCAGCCACCATCTCCCCCCATCCCCCCATCCCCCGGCCAAGGAGCACAATGTGAGTGACGACAAGAATAGTCCACAAGGGCCAAGGACACCAAGGTTCCCCACACTGGTTCCTCGGCATGAGGACCTCGATCTGTGAGGTGACCCCACTTCACAGAGGTTGTGTATGTCCCAGCAGGACCTTTGAATTTCACAAGAACAAAATACCTTCTTGCACTTACCTTAAGTATGTGAAGATGCCCTCCGCAAAACCCCGCCCCCGCCCCCACTCCTCCCCAACCCACCGGCCAAGGGAGAAGGTGGCCTGGCTCACCTCGATAATGTAGAGAACCACGTTCTTATAGAAACAGTACAGGATACACTTGGTCACACGATTGTAGCTCCAGGCGCCATGGACCAGCAGCAGCTTCTCCAAGTAGGAGAACTGAGGGGGAAAAATGGCAAAGTTCAGGAGCGCCCATCCTTTATGAACAAAAGTCAGAAAATGCTGTTTGGGGACAGACAAGGTCGTCAAGGAAGCCAGATTCTGCCAAGAACCTGAGAAAACCATACATTTCCAGAAACTATAGGCAGAGCTTTTGGGTCCAGTGAGGACAACTAAACTCTTTTTTTTTTTTTTTTTTTTTTTTTAAGATTTTATTTATTTATTTGACAGACAGAGATCACAAGTAGGCAGGGAGGCAGGCAGAGAGAGAGAGGAAGGGAAGCAGGCTCCCCGCTGAGCAGAGAGCCCGATGCGGGGCTTGATCCCAGGATCCTGGGATCATGACCTGAGCCGAAGGCAGCGGCTTTAATCCACTGAGCCACCCAGGCGCCCCCTAAACTCTCCTCTTAAATCTACCTTAGTATTTTCCCCGAAATGCCAGTTTGGACATCTCATTGTTATTCTTGTGAATTCTGTTTACACAAATGCTTCTTAAGGGTCTTAACGGTTAGGAGAAGGTGACCTCTTGAACTGGAAGAAAAGAAAAGCACAGTGGCAACCAGATGCTTCTAGTCAATCAGATTTGGTGGTGACTTCAGGAACAAGGGACAGGAACACTCGTGCACCATGACCCTTTTTTAAAAAAGGGATGCACGTGGAGACACGACCTATTTCCACTGTCAGTCTGCACGTTAAAAGCAATTGCATTGCACATGCACACAGATGCTCAGGCACAAACACACAGCCTTACCACTTTGTTCTCCTTTTTTGCTACCACCCAGTACAGAGTACCCCTTGCTAGAGTGCTATGCAGTCAAGAAAAACAAAAAACCAACAAGTGGCTGAAACTAAGGTGACAGTGATGGAACGGTTCTTGCAGTTTGAAATACTGAGCAATATTCAGTAAAATCCCTGAATCCTCTTTGGGGTAGGGGGTCTTTGGATCCCACTTGAATCCTATCCCCTTAGCATTCTCTTAGCCTGGCTTCGCTTGCTGTGTCCTACTTCACAAAGGTCCCCAAAGGCATGAACATGAGCTGGAGGGAGAGAAATGAGGGTTTTTGTTGTTGTTGTTGTTTTGTTGTGTGGACTATGGTGTGCTCTGGCATGAAGGCACCATTAGGGCAAACCTGTTTAAATCCATGATTTCTATACACTGATTGGCCTTGGACCCCACTGACATTTCCCTTTATTGCCTTGAACTAAAACCTTAATTCCCCTATTCAAAGTCATAGGGCAGTCCTTGGGCTCATTCCCTTGGAAGAGATAATCGGGCTGTATTGAGAACATCTGTAAACTTCAGAAATTCTTTTGCTATTGCAAACTTCCGATTAATTTCTGATTACTTTTGAAATTAAATTTAACTATCAGTAGAAAAGAATGACTGATAGGAAATGTAGTTTTCTTTAAAGAAAACATTTTCTTTCAAAACTTTCTTTCTTTCAAAACATTTCTTTCTTTCAGGTCACCCAATGCAAAAGCCACATAATAATTTCCATTAGCCGTGAAGAAGTCAGCTCAATCCGATATGACATCACATTTCATGAAAAATCTACCCAGGAGATGGGGGTAAGGCAGGTCACTTGACTGCAAACTCCAAAAGCTATATGGCCACTTCAAAATGGCAGGGGTAGGTGCATATGGAAAAATAAAACTCCCCATAAAAGCTCATTAAGGATTCCAAAGGGGAATGGGGAATCATAAAGTAACTGGCTAAACAAATAAAAAGGAAGTTTGCATTTGACCCAGACCCCCTGATGTTAAACTTCAGTGGGCACAGAGAACATCTGCTGGAATCATCCAGAATGACTCAATGTTAGTGGGACAACGATTTGTTTTCAGGGGAAAAAAAAAATGCATATATCCTAAATCAAAATGCTATCTTCAGGAGGCCATTCCAAAAACCTTAAGAAGGTAGGGGGAGCGAACGATCGTCTCCTGAGGAGAACAGGCAGCTGGGGCCAGAGGACGTGCAGGCTGCCCATGGGCAAGGCAGCAGATCGGGGGCGGGGGGTGGCTGTTAGTCCCAGGGGCTGCTCTGTGGATAAAAGCACAGGCAGGCAGGAAAGAAGCAGAACCAGAGTTTTGCCCATTTCATCATTTTTCCCAAGGACTGGGAGCTAAAGTGCTTTCTTCTGTATGTAACCTTCCAGGCCACTGCCTCAAAAACCCAATCAAAAATGTCTTCATCCACGTGCAGTAAAGTGACAGAGCCCAAGACGTTAACTCCAACCAAAGACGTGGATCATTTCACCAGGGCGAAGGGATGCATGAAATTGTGGGCTCTCTTGCTTCTAACTGAAGAAGAGGGGGCACAGGGTCTGGCAGAGAAGGTGTAAGGCAAAGAGCAATGCTGCCCTGAAACAGCGGAACCTCTACCTGATCGTGAGCAGGACCACGGACAGGAGAAATGAAGACCCACGGACACGTGTGGCCACCCATCACTTCCTCTGGCCGTGCTCATTGTTACACCAGTGGGGCAAGAAAACCCCGAACTCTAACTCTAACCCTCTCCTCCTTATGCTTCTTTGATGCTTTTGATTTGAAGAGAGCAATTGCTCCGGATTCCACAGCCTATTACTATGCAGCTTCAATAAAGCAGGTCATGGAATCTCCCTTCCCCAGACATTTTAAAGAAAAGACAGACAAATATTTGCCTGAAACTCCTAGGAAACCTCCAAAGATCCCTTCCAGCCACATGATGCTATAACTCAAGTATTTAATAATGCTGGGTATATAACGTCTACAGCTGCTGACGGACTACAGGAAGCGAGAGTCCCACAGGCCTCGGAGTGGTTGACTCAGGAACGTGAACGGGCAGGTGTACGGGGATGGTCCCCAAGGTCACATCCAGGTCTGGTGTTCTCTGACCCTGGATGCTCGGACCCGAGGCAGGTCACCCAATGTGAAGGAGCCCCAGTGTTCCCACCTGTACAATCAGAATTCCTTCCCCTAACTACTTTAGCAATTATCTTGAGGATTTATTTGAAATCAAGATTGATTTCATGTACTTTCCAGAGCCATGAGGATTTTGTAATTCCTCCCTGTGTTTGCAGAACCACGAGCTGGGAGGGAATCAGAGAGGTGATCTAATACAGAGCCCCCCTCTGGGGAGGTAGACCCCAAAGCTGCACAGGACCAACCTGCAGCCCTGGGGTGCTGGAAGCTCTTTCACAGTCCATATGCAGCCCCTGATGTCAGCTTGAAGGGGTAAAAAGCCATCACTACCTGTGTTCATGTGATTAAGGTTAACACATTCTTTAAATGACTAAACACTGGAAGGAGATGAGGGAACCCTAGCTAATGACCAAATGAGCAGGTCCTTTATCATGACATACTGTAATGTATAGACAGGAGGAAATGATCAGTGCCCAGTATGCAGTCTAGATTTTCTGGATGATCAAGCAGGCCAAAAGATCTAGATATGTCACCTGAGATCAAGAGGTTGGCTATTTTCCTTCACTTTTTGGCTCTCCATCATTGAGGAGTAGACATTTCTTTCAGCCTCAAGCCACCTGTTCTGTGACTACAAAGTGCATTGGGAACCTCTGCATGCAACATCGGATCCAGAGGGGAAAGGGCTGACCTTGGCCTAACAGCAGGAGGCCGGCTGCTACTGACAGTGGGTTATCGCTACAGCACCCTGGTTATGCCTACAGAGAGGGAAGCACTTGTAAGCCACTGCTTTCCCCTGACCTCAAATGCCTGAGGAGAGAGCGTTCTAGCACCTTCTAAAAAGAGAACCAATTCTGGGATGGGAATGGTAGAGAACGGATGTAATGAGCACAGCCATTCCTTGGTATGGGACGGCACAGGGAAAAGCCCATGCAGCAGATGTGAAAGCTGAGGATGAAAGACTATCATTAGCAGGATCAGAGACCTATCTGTTAGGAACGATGCCTGCCTGGAGGACAGAGAGCTTGGCCAACCTCACAGCTAACAAAAACCACCACAAGAACCAAAACAACTACAACAACCAGGGGCCTTTAAACTGCACAGGATCAAGGCCACAGGGAAATCCAAATACTCTGGTGATTTTGTCTGGACAAACTTCAAAAGGGATGGCACAGTTCTTAGGGCTGGACTGAAGGTCAAGCACCAATCAGACCGTCATGCCCAGTGGACATCTCTGTCAACAGGACAGGACAGCTGGTCAACCGCGCCTCTGACCTGTGCAATGGCATAATCCGAGTTGTTGGTTGCCTGCATGCCTTCATTCCCACTGATTCCTACACCCACGTGAGCTGTCTGGATCATCCCAACGTCGTTGGCACCATCCCCAATGGCGAGGGTGATGGCCTTTACCCGCTTCTTAACCACGTCCACTATTTCAGACTTCTGCAGAGGAGACACCCTGTAAGAGAAGAAAGAAATGATGACTATGTGCATCCTTCCAGGGGAAACAGCTGTAATCTACATTTAGCTGCATTAAAAGGGCAGTTATTGGACCATTTCCAGATTCAATACATACATTTTATGCTCATGTGCAAAGAAGCTTTCAGAAAACAGTAGCTTGTGGCTTTCAAGTATTTGCCAACTTCACAGATGAAATACACAAGTCAAAACTAACTTAAAACACAGCCTGTCTGTAATCGCTCTGCCCAGGGGGAACCATGTGCGCCAACTCCTCAGGGCCACATGTGGCCCCCCGAACAATAAAGACAGGGAAGCTAGTTAGAGGTCTTAGGAAATGTCTTTTGACTAAATCAGAAAACTAGCACAGACCCCATTTTTGCTTTTCTGCTCAATACATACAACCTAGGGCTGGTAAGAGAATCTTCTGTAAAATCTGCTTTCACGGAAGGGAGAGAAAATTGGCAAGGCTTGAGAAGTGCAGAAAGAGTACCAGAGGAAGAGAGATGAAGAAAGCCTTCCCCTTCTCCACCTCAGAAATGGAGGCAGTGTCTGAAGGGCAGCTACGGCGGAAGGATTTAAGAAGGGGCGGGGGCGTCACAGGGACAGGTCTACCAAAGCTCAGCTGGGTAGAAGCACAGCCCAACAGGGGGAGATACGACTGCCTTTGCCGAAGAGGGGTTGTTTCTGCAAGGAATCAAAAGAATGTGGGCTATTTTTCTTAGGTTCTCAAGTCATCTGGGAAGAGGACCTAACATAAATCTGTGGGGCTAAAACACAGCAGTGTTAATTATGATGAAGGCTATGTTCAGAGTATGAGACCAGATAATACAATAACTTGAGAAAACTACCAGTACCTCAGGACTGACTTATTTTAAATTCTGAACTGGTAAGCTGATAGTCACTTTGGGAAATTGACAGGTAAACTCCTGAATGACTAAAACATACACACACACGTGCACACACACACTGCACACATGTGCTGCACACACAAACACAGTAAAAGGCCTGTCGGGGTTTCCCAGAGATATACTGGCTGAACCCACATATGTACTGTACTTGTAAACTGGAATAGATACTTAAAGACTTTCTTAGTTGGACTATGACCTTTCATACGGCCTCTGACCTCAAAACATCAGTTTCCAACAAAAAACTTAAACTTTACCTTTTATTTACTTTTACCAACCCAGAGACTTGTCTGTGTTTGGAGAGACAGCAAACTGAATTTAAAGCACAGTTACAATGAAAGCCTTTGCTCAAAGAAATGAAAATTAGCAAGTTAGCAAAAGAGAATCAATAGGTTGAAAGGCCTTTAGGAGCCAATGTTATATGATCTACTACCTCTTTTATCATTTTCACAGTGATTTTCAATAATGGGAGTTTATTGCCTCCTGGAACAATTGGAACCACTAAAAATTATTATTATTACTTTTTTTGAGGTTGATAAGCTATGTACTTCAAAGTACTAATTCTGTCCTCCGGGTTAGGCTAGAATAAGCACAACTCTTCTTTCAAATATTAGGAAGGCTGAACTAGAAAGACACCTATCACATCCTTCCTCCATAAGTTCAGTGTCTGCTGGCTGAACTGTCCCAGGTCCCTCACCCATGATTTAACAGGCATGCTTCAGAACTTACAAATAACTTCCAAGTGTGATCTTCCAGACAGCTACAAGCAGAGCAGAACAGAATCACCATCTCCCTGGAGCCGATTACTAGACCTACTGTAATATATACATATCTTAGCATGAAATCACTGGAAGCTTTACGCTGTCCATCACTGACCCTCCAGGCACCTAAGTGTAAGCAATTTTCATGGATAGGGATATTAGCTGTAGCTCTTCCTTCTACATTTGTTCAAGAGCTACTTGGAGCCAAGGGCTGACCTTGACATTCCTCTCTCATTAAACTCCTGACTGGCAGACACAGCTCTCACAATTCCAATCTGCTACACAAATGTAATATCCCATTTCATCTCTAAGCTCAGTAGAAGCAGAGATCAAATATATGGAGAAAACAAAGTAGGATTTGAAATTAAATAACTGCGCATGACCTTCCCCTGTTCCCTATACTGTTTAAACAGAGGAAATAATTCTGAGTTCTCATCTTTCCATCAGTAAAAATGGGAAAATGAGAACCACCCACCTAATTAGATAGTTGATATATTTATGTGAAATCATGTTATCTTGCCAGTATGAAACAAATGTTATCTCCTACCCCACCTGTAAAACTCTGATTGCTGGAAAAAGAAAATTGGACACATCTAAGAACTATGTACCATCTAACCTACGGTTCCCTGTAAGTAACCTGGGGTACTGCAGTGGCAAATTATTGATTTTCAAGGAAAATACAGCAACATTTCTCAGATAGTAGTACAACATACTAGCTCAAAGTAGCTCACAGTTTCGATATCAGATAATGCTACATTCCTTCTTTTTTTTTTTTTTTTTTAAAGACCATATTTATTTCTTTGAGAGAGAGACCACACAAGGGGCAGGGGCAGAGGGAGAGAGAGACTCTCAGGCAGACTCCCTGCTAAACATGGAGCCCAACACAGACCTCGATCTCATGACCCTGGGATCACGACCTGAGCTGAAATCAAGAGTCAGACCCTTAACCCACTGAGCCACCCCGGAGCCCTGCTACATTCCTTTTTATGATATCTTGGTGAAGCTGAGTTTTCACGGCTGCTATGATAAAAAGCAAACATAGCTTGTAAAAAACCAACGTGGAATAGGAAATGAGGGACACAGCATTCATGCTTTCTCCAAAGTTTGAGAAGGTGTACAAAGCTTAACAGGTGTGCATACCATAACACTGGCAAATGATCATGGCTATTTAAGGATGAAAGAAAGTATTATTTCCTTCTGGTTATGCGCATTAGTGTTTCAAATGTCTGCTAAGTTGTTAGGACATAAATACTTCTTAAATTGTCTGACCTTCCCTTCCTAACAGTTATGACTGTTTGGCATTCCTTCTTGGCCTATGGGCTTTGCAAAGGAATTACTGAGACACTAGGGTACGGTAAATGCAGAGAATCTGGGAACATCCATGTTGATCACTCTCCATGGTTACATCGATCACTCTTCCGAGTACAATTGTTCACTCACTGAAGTAGAACTTTACCACCGTTTAATCTCAAACTCTTCTTCTGTGTCCACAAATGTGTCATAGAAGCACACTGGACAGACACTGAATCAGCACTGGGATCCTTGAGGCTGCGACTCCTTGAGATTCCACATGCCACCCACGTAACTGGGTAATTCTCTTTATCAGCTGACCTGAAGTGATGTAGAGCCAAAGGAGGTCTATAGGGCAAAAGGGGAATCTGCAGGGCGCAAAGCTTAAGGACAGCAACATGGCGCTGTGGGAGGAGGGAAGGGCTATGGTGGTGGAATGGGAAAGCTCCTACACAAAGCCATAGTTTCCTCCGAGGTCAAAGGATTTAGTAATAAGTCAACCAACAAGCAAGTAGCAAGTCAAATATAATCACTACATTTGCCACTCTGGGATTTGAAACTCCAGCAAATCAAGTCATGATTGTGATGACTTTAAGCAAAATCTGTGAAAGTCCAACAGCTGCCTTTTCCCAAAAAGCAAGCGTACAGAGAGAACCTGACTGGGGTATATAAACCGAGTCATACCCCAGCATTTTAGAAGCATGAAATTCTCATCAAGGATTTATTATACCCTCAGCTGTGATGCCTTGAGAAAATATAACTCTAGCACCCACAAGGGGTTCAAAACAGATGTCAAACAGCTAATTTCTATAGAACGGAACAGGTACCATTATGCTTCAGTCATACGAACTATTTCAGTATGCCAAGTTGCCACGAAGCACAAACCAGCTCTTTTTAAATCTTAATTTGTAACCTGGAATCACATGCCACACTTAAGTATTCCCAGCATATAGTACATTCAAACTATAAAATAAGAATTCCAGACCACATCTGAGCTAAGCTAGGCACTTGGGACAGTTCTATAAACTATTTTAGTGCCTTATGAATAAAAACACAAAATCAAAGATCTTTAATCAACTGGAGAGATATTTTACCTACTTTTTTGGCTAACACAAAAGATTCTAAAATGAAAAATAATTTTTCCTTTTGAGACTTAAAAAAATTCCAAATTCTGGAGTATCTAATTTTATGAGATATGTGTTCCTGAAATTTTTTAAGAAGATTTACTTATTTATTTGAGAGAAAGAGAGAACATGGGTGGAGGGCAGAGGAAGAGGGAAAGAGAATCTTATGCAGGCTTCATATTGAGAGCAGAGCTGAAACTAAGAGTTGGACACTTAACCAACTGAACTACCCAGGTGCCCCTGTGTTCCTGGAATTTTTAAAACTTACTTTCTAAAATTATTCCAAATATAACACTTACGTAGAACCTTTGGTAACTGCTTTTCTAGAATTAGTGATCATGCATGAACTTATCCAATCTACAGAAGTCCTGGTCTCAGAATGAGTTTCTAAAATTCTGAATTGCAATATCATCCGAGCAAACTTAAATCCCTTCCCTTCTCAGAGCTCTGAGGTCTCATCTGTCAAAGAGGGGTAGACCTCTATTACTGATTTATAGAGTGAACTCCACTGAGCCAAGGGAGTCACAAGAAACCTCACCCAGGAGCACCCAAGAGAACTTCAACTAAAGCCACAATACTTATTCATTAACCAGATTCACTAAATGCTTTTACTAATTGGACTCCCAAACTTCTTTATTCCATATAGAAAGTTCTTATGACAGAAAAGGAAGTTTGAAGACCACTGGCCTAGATCAATAAGTCTCAAATTTTAAGTGAGTATCAGAATCACCTAGAGAGCTTGTAAAAATAGAGTTTTTTGATTCAGAAGTGTGCATTTAATAAGCTCCCAGGTGATGCTGACGCTGCTTGTCTCTGGACAACACTGATGTAGTTAGCACTGACCTGGACAAGATCACAAGAGCTCACTGGCTCAAATGTTTTAATTAGCTAGGTAGGCTTACATTTCCCTAGCATAAG